ACTTTTATTTTTGCGGCTATAGCCGTCATCGACAGTTAAGGGGTTAAATTATGATGAAATAAAAACATTCCTGCAGCACAAGATGCAACATCAAGGCGCCAATATATCATGCACCACGGATATTTGGACATCTCTCTCACAAGATTCTTTCTTATCCTGTACGGCACATTATATAGATAAAGAAAAATGGGAATTAAGTAGTCACACTTTATGTACAATAGGATTAGAGGAACGACATACAGCTGAGAATATAGCTTTAGGATTAGAAATGATATTCTTCGATTGGAATTTAGAAGAACAAATTTTTGCCATAGTACACGACAATGCATCCAATATGATAAACGCTGCAGAAAATCTTCAAAATATAAATGAACATGTTAACTGTGCGGCTCATACCCTACAACTAGCTGTGAATGATGCATTACAATTAGAAAATATAGCATATGTTATACAGAAAGCACGGAAAATTGTTGGACATTTCAAACATTCTACATTAGCAATGCAAGAGCTACACAAAACTCAAATAAAATTCAATCTGCCGCAAGAGACATTAATTCAAAGCTGTCCTACAAGATGGGATTCCACTTATTATATGTGTGAACTTTTACAAAAAAATAGAACTCCTATTTTGGCGGTATTAAATGATACATCTATAACAAAACCGAGGCAGGCTCAAAACTTAGAAATCACTGCAATTGAATGGTTGACTATAGAAAAACTGGTGACGCTTCTGAAACCTCTCCAATGTGCAACCACCGTATTTTGCTCTTCATCCGAAGTCACAATATCTTTGGTTCGTCCGGTAATACGAGGAATCATAGATAATCATCTGATAGAGGACGTTTTGGACGACGACTATATTTCAACATTCAAACAAATATTACGTCAATCACTGATTAGGCGCTTTGATATGGAAATACAATCAAACGAGAAAGTCAGCGTGCGTCAAATTGCAAGCTTCCTCGATCCTCGCTACAAAGACTTAACAGCCGAACAATTCGAAACGGAGAGAATAAAGATAAAAGACTTTATTAAGAAAGAATTACAGGTAATATATTATATATATATATATATATATATGTGTGTGTGTGTGTGTGTGTGTATAATTAATTGTTGATTGTTTTATACGTACATTATGTTTGCAATGAGTAAGATAACGAAAAGAAGAGTTATTTACTATAAAGAAATAGACTGAATAAAATGAATTTTTCACTTTTTACAGACGCTAGCTCCAACCGATATACCGGAGGAAAGAACTACACGTGTGGTTGGAAGTGCATTAGATTTTATTTTTAAAAAGAGTACTTCAAGTACACAAACTGACTGGCGAAAGCAACTTGACCATTATCAAATGGAGATAACCATTGATTATAATGACTCACCCCTCGAATGGTGGAAGGCAAGAGTTAATAAATATCCGACACTCGCCGAATTGGCGAGGAAATATTTAGCAATACCTGCAACATCCGCGAGTTCGGAAAGAGCGTTTTCCTCAGCGGGCAATATTGTATCACGAAAACGTAACTGTTTAGCCCCGGAAAATGTAAATATTTTAGTTTTTTTGTACGAGAATAGGAAATATATATATAAAACAGAGCCGGGATTTAGTTGCACATTTCGGGCCGATTCCGAACGCGACGCCTCCTATACCCCCACTACCGCTCGAGGCGCAGCGGCCGAGCCGCCGATTGCTCACGTGACGCGTCATCTCAGGAGCGTCGCGCGTGCTAGCATGAT